TGCTGAGCGGGGTGAAGTGCGCTGGCCATGAGATGTCCCTGAGCCACTGCCAGCACCACGGCACCCGCCTGAACTGCAGGAACACGGGCACGCGCTTCGCTGCGGGTGTCATCTGCTCCGAGAGTGAGTGGCGGTGGGGTTTGTGGGTGATGGGGTCTGTGGGTGGTAGGGGCTGCAGATAAAGGGGCTGTGAGCCATGGGGCTGTGGGCAGCGGGGTTTGCAGCTGAAGAGGCTGCAGGGTCAGCCGACGATGGGGAGGGCGTGCGTTCCCCCGGCTGGCACAGCGCAGCCTGCGCTGGGCACTCGCCCTGTCCCCGCCGTGCAGCGGGGCGGCCGGCTGTCCCTGAGCAGCCGCCTGCTCCCCAGCCGCCTCCGACCTGCTGCTGCACGCCCCGCTGGTGCAGGAGACGGCGTACATCGAGGACCGGCCACTGCACATGCTGTACTGCGCCGCCGAAGAGAACTGCCTCTCCAGCTCAGCCCGCCTGGCCAACTGGCCCTATGGGCACCGCCGCCTGCTCCGCTTCTCCTCCCAGATCCACAACAACGGCCGCGCAGACTTCCGCCCCAAGGCTGGCCGTCACTCCTGGGTCTGGCATGAGTGCCACCGGTGCGTGTGGCGTGGGCAGGGACAGGCATGCAGGCAGGGGAACAGCCTGGGCTGGGGGGGGTCAGGGTGAGGGTGCTGCTGTGGTGGGCTGGACGAGGGTGATGCCAGGCGAGGGTGACGCTGGGTGAGGCACAGAGGCCAGGCGAGGCACCTTCTGCTGCCCCAGGGTCCAATTCTGCCTGCTTTGGCTCAGGGCTGACTCTGGATGAGTGGTGTTGGGGCTGGGGACCTTGGGGAGCAGGCGGGGATGGGGCTGCAGGCTGTGCCCTATAGCTGAGCCCCCCGCTTGCCAGGGCTACCTGGCTGGTGACAGCCACGTCCCCTCCCAGGGCAGGACTGAGCTCTGCCTGACCTCGCAGCACTGCAGCCTCAGAGCAGGGGCTATGAGGACATTCCCTGCCAGCGAGGGGCTGGGCAGGCAGCGGGGGGGCTGCTGCAGGGCAGGGCCAGCCTCCCATCTGCTCCGTGGGTCTCCTCCTCTGCCCCGAGCATCCCCCCCAACTCCCCAGTGTCCAGCACTGGTGCAGCTGGGGCGCTGCGGGGTCCCTCTTGCAGGCACTACCACAGCATGGATATCTTCACCCACTACGACATCTTGACCCCCAATGGCACCAAGGTGGCGGAGGGACACAAGGCCAGCTTCTGCCTCGAGGACACCGAGTGTGAGGAAGGTGGGCGCCGCGAGGCTTTGTGGCACCGTTCCTGCCCGTGTCCCCGCCCTGGGGCTGCCCCGTGCTGGGGGGAGCCAGGCTGGGTGGGCGACGCGGTGGGGACCAGCCATGCTCTCTTCCTGCCCGCAGACGTGGCCAAGCGGTACGAGTGTGCCAACTTTGGGGAGCAGGGCATCACCGTGGGCTGCTGGGACCTCTACAGGCACGACATCGACTGCCAGTGGATCGACATCACCGATGTCAAGCCAGGCAACTACATCCTGCAGGTGATGCAGCTGAACCGCCTCGGCCCCTCGTGCAACCCTCCCGTGTGCATCCCCACCCTCTGCCCCTGCACCCCCAGCTCTCCACGCGCCCCAGGCACCCAGCCCTCTCGCCCCTGCTCTCTGAGGTTGGAGCACGGCAGGGGCTGCGCTGGTGCAGGGCAGTGCCTGTCCTTGTGCACAGAGATGTGCAGGGCTTGTGTGGGAACTGCTCAGGCATGCTTCAGCCCGAGCTTTCCTGCTCTGAGCTCATGGGCACACGGTGCACAGTGACGGGGCCACCACACCACAGTGGCAGCCACCCGCCCCTCGGAGCCCTCCAGCACATCCCACCGCAGCTGGGGAGATGAGTCCTGCCAGGGCTGGGGTGCTGGGGGCCATGTCACAGGAAGCAGCTCTGCCAAGGCCGGGAAGGCCAAGCTGACAAGGTGTGGGGCTGCAGCACTGCCAGGTGTGGGGCAGGGGGCTGTGGCCCTCACTGTCAGCGCCCCACAGGTCGTGATCAACCCCAACTTCGAGGTGGCAGAGAGCGACTTCACCAACAATGCCATGAAATGCAACTGCAAGTACGACGGGCACCGCATATGGGTGCACAGCTGCCACATCGGTAACAGCCCTGGGATGCAGCCGTGGGGGGGGGGCGAGGGCCCGCTGGGGCAGGGGGTGTACAGGCAGGGGTGCCCCATGGAGCAACGAGGGGGTTACGGGAAGCAGTGGGGATGGGGGCAGGCTGTGGGGCTTGAGGTGGGATGGCCAGGCTGGCACGGGGAGGCAGGGGCTGGGGTCCTGGGGGGCAGCTGTGGTGGGCGTGGAGGTGCTGGCAGGGCAGGCGCCGTGCAGCACTGGAGCTGGCAGCTCTTGCCCTCTGCCCACCCAGGCGATGCACTCAGCGAGGAGGCCAACAAGAGGTTTGAGCAGTACCCAGGTCAGCTCAACAACCAGATTTCCTAGGGCTCCAGCCCCGGCGGAGACTGGCATCTCCCTCCCTCACCCTGCACGGGTGGGAGGAAGCTGCTGAGGGGCTGGCACGGAGGCCTCGTGCCCGGCACCGCTGCCACCGTGCCCTGCCGGGGACTGCCCAGGACTCACCGTCACCAGCTGCCCTTCCCCACCTGAGGGAGCTGGTGCTGGAGGCACTGCACAACAGCACCTCCCAGCCTGGGGCCACCACCCCAACCACTGGTCAGAAGACTCTGTGCCCACATCCCTGGGCTGTGGCACAAGGGCATGGTTTGGGAGGTCCTGTACGCCCCACCATGCCCCTCTCTGCTCCCAGTCCCTGACGTCCCAGCTGCACCCCACCTCCTGCTTCCCCATTCAGCCCTGGTTCCTTTCACCCCCCCTGCCTTCAGCCAACCCCAGGCCCCACTACCCACACAGGGACTCACCCCCCTGCACAGCCCCGGCCGAGCCCCTTGTCCCCTGGCGATGGTGTGTCTGCCCCTGCCCTGGCAGCACTGCCTCCAGCTGCCTGGCAGTGGTTCCCACACCCTTCTCTTAGTTGTAATTTTATTTTCTCAATAAAGTCGTCAGTTCTATTTCCCCAATGGCTGCTGCCTCTTCTCTGGGGTGGGACGAGGAGCCTGGCAGGGGGAGGCACAGCACAGCTCATGCTGGAGGGCTGGCCAGCACGCTCCAGCACAGAGTGTGGGAGCTCCCCCTAGCCCCTGCACCTCCCTCCAGTACCCACACGGAGCGAGGAAGATCCCCCCTGCCCACACAGACCCAGATGGGCAAGAACCGGCCCCACACCAGTACCCTGGCAGCTGCCGGCGCCACCGGTGCTGGGTTAGAGAAAGACCGTCCCAGTCCTTCTGGGAGAAGCCTGTGTGGGTGAGGGGAAGGGGCCAGCAGGAGCCCAAGCACTGCCTCACAGCACCGCACTGCCGGGGGCAGACAGGGCCACCCTGGGGCAGCAGGGATGTGGTGAGGTGCTGGTTCCACCACACCAGATGCAAATGTCACTGAGCAGAAATCCCACCGCGGGTCTGCGACCCAGGAGGATTGCAGTCCCGCAGCAGAGATGGGCGTGGAGGGAGCCCAGCCCGGCAGAGCCGGAGGCAGACACTTGGGGCAGAGAAAGAGGACATGACACGGGGGCAAAGGGAGGGACACCCCAGCTCCTGCAGCTCTCGCACCTCAGCCAGACGCTCTGGTCCCATCTGCAGCAGACAGCGGCACAGAGAGGCAGCTTCAGCCCCCTCCACATTGCTGGGGACAGACCGCTCCCCTCCCTGCCCGGGGAGGAGAGGGGCGGCTGGTGGCTGGGCTGGGGCAGGGCCTGGCTCCAGGCAATGGAAAGCACTGCGGTCAGCGCTGCTGGAGCAGCTATGCAAGAAACGCCGCCCGGCGTCTCAGCTATTTCCCCTGCGAGCAGCCGGCTGGGGCTTGCCGGGGGAGCAAATTCCTCTGGCGAGGCCAGGGCTGCCTGAAAGGAGGCCTGTTCTCCGGGGCAAGAGGAACACGGCGGGGGGAGCAGAGGCTCAGAGCCGCCCTTTGCCACAGCACCCCCAAGGAACTGTGCTTCTTTCATCTCCTAAAAATAACAGGCAGGGGCGAGGGCTCGGGAGCCCCGTCACAGGCAGGGCCTGGCTCGGCACACACATTCCTCCCACCGGAGCTGGGCCGGACACAGCCTCTCAAGGCAGCCCTCACCGCAGAGCTGCCTGCCTCCCGCAGCCCCTGGCAGGGGACAGAGCAGAGCAGGGGCTCTTCTAGGAAGGCGAGGAACAGTCAGAGCTGATCCTTCCCAGAAGGGCCGGCCGGGCTCTCAGCCACCAGCTGCAGAGCACAGGGAGGGCCCCAACTGTCCCCAGGGGCCAGGCTGCGTGCGTGGGAGAGCACAGACAGACACCAGGCTGGGGGAGGGACAGGCAGCGCCAAAGAGGCACACACAGCCCTGGCTCCCACCTTCAGTCCTCCTGAATACCAGGGCCAGCAAGACGCTGCCCTGGCCATCTGAGCCCAGCACCGACACCCCTTTCACCATGGCCCGGAAAGATGCTTCGGGGGTGTGGATGTGGATGCAGACCTTAGAGCACTTGCAGTGCTCCCCAGTGGAAGCAATCTGACTAGACGGACATCTACCACATCTCTCTGGCCTCGTGGGCAGTGTGCCAGAGCTGCCAAGGACCAGCTCAGCTGGCACACCAGGGAGGCCAGGACAGCCATCCCAGCAAAGCCCACCCCAGAGCAGCTCTGGGGCTGCTCTGGCCTGCCAGGGAGGTGGCCTCATGAGCTGTGCCCATGTTACAGATGGAGGAGTGGGATCCCAGCCTGTGCGGGTACTTGAGTGGGTGGCAGGACACCTCTAACACCAAGGAGGTCCCTGGAGGCACAGCCAGTGTGCTCCTCCCGGCTGGAAGGACATGTGAAGACTGGCAAGAGGGGCAGGGTCCCACAGAGCCCAACTTCCTCCAGGCAACTGAGAAGGAGGCCACATGGCACTAGGGGGGTCCCTAGAAAAGTGCTTTAATTAAGTACAGAGGGGAACAGTTGTACCACTAGTCTGCCCAAGCGCCGGGCTGGGCCCCTCTGCCTGGCCCCTTCCAGTCTCTCACAGGCTCTCAGTCTCTCCCTGACCGGCGCAGAGACACGGCTCAGTCCTGTGTCCTCGGCTCTCAGCCAGCACTGCCAGGCAGCGCCCGCAGGTCTGCGCGACAGCACTGCTACTCCGTGACCTCAGGGACAACGCTCACCAGCAAAGTGTCGTAGCCACGCCGCACCAGCAAGGCCAGGCTCTGCTGCGTCCGTACGGCCTCGTACACGTCCTCTGCACGGCGCGATGCCTGCCCGTTGATCTCCAGCACGACGTCACCTGCCTTCATCCCTGCCCTGTGGGGAGAATGACGACAGAAGTGCACAGTGGGCAAAGCAGACACTCAGCTTCATATTCTCAGAAGGAAGGAGAGTCGGGCACTACAGGAGGCTTGGGCTGCTGCACCAGGCGTTCTTCCAGCCACACAGGTACCTTGGCCAACGGGACACCGAGCCTGGGCAAGGGTCACCAGTTGGTTTCTGCTGCAGACTGACAGCTGTGGGGCCCAAGCCCTGCTGCTTTGGAGCAAAACATTCAGAGCTAAACACATCCCATTCGGCGTAGTCGCTCTCTCATGCCACCCCCCAGACACAGGGCAGCACTTACTGATGGGCCGGGGAGCCAATGATCACCTTGTGGATTAGCACTCCGTAGGAGACATCAGGGAAGCTGGGATCACGCAGCTTCAGCTCAGCCAGGATACTGCAGAGTGAAAATCAGCATCAAGTGAGGAGCTGGGAGGCAGAGCAGCACTCCCATCCCACCATGGCTGCACAGGCTTGGAGAACACAGCACAGAACCTTGCCTCCTCTGTCCCTGCACACTGCTAAGCACAAACAACCAGTTGCAAACCCCTGGGGCACCCAAACAGCACCATCTTCCCATCAAAAACTAGAGGACAAAAGTCCTAACTGTGCCAGGGAGAGCTGGAAACTACCAGAGCAGCTGCCAGCTGGATCACAGCTCCTGGTGATGCACATCCCCTGCCAGAGCAGCCCCACGTCAGACCACCCTTCCTGCTATCAGATCTACCCCTCCTCTGCGGCAGTTTCACTTCTCTGCCTCTGATGGGTAGGACACTGAACAAAAAGCTACGCCCCCTCTTTTTGCCAGATGTGTCAAGCAGAGGTATACCCACATCTCTCCTTCGGAGTCTATAGACTAAACAATCCCAGTTCTTTCAATATTCCCACAGATTAGGTTTTCTAAATCTAGCTTGAATTCTGCACCTCTCACTGCTTCGCTCTGGACTCTCTCCAGCTGCTCCTCATCCCTCCTGAAAGTGTCCAGAACTGGGCCTCACCAGAGCGGAGGGACCATGCATCGTGTAAACAGCATTCACCCCTCTAACACCATGCAGCACCTCTGATCCACTGCAGCCCCAGGAATTCTCAGCCTCTCTGCCCAGCTCCTTGCTCATCAGGTACCTTTTCAGCCAGTTATGGCTCCCCACTGCTCAAGTAGGCTCAGTCAGAGCAGGTAGCCCAGGACTGTGTCCTGTAAGGCTCTGAGTATCTCCAAGGTTGAAGACTCTCCAACTTCTCCAGGCAACCTGTGCCAGGCTTTGACCAACCTCCTCACAGTTAAAAAGTGATTTATTGTGTTCAGATGGAATCTCACATGTCTCAGTTTGTGCCCATTGCCTCTTGTCCTGCTGCTGGGAGCTACCAATAGAACTACTGACTTGATGTGGTCTGCACATTTACTAAGTCAAGTCTGCTTCTTTGCCTCGGTCACTAAAGCTGAACAATACACAGCCTTAGGCAGGTCTCTGTACAAACACGGTAAATGTGGCTGAACCTGGTTGTGGTGAGTTGGTGACCCGGGCTGGCAGGGAAGTCCCCACCCAGTTGCTCAGTCACTTCCCCAGGAGAATGGGGGAAAGAATTTGAAGGGCAAAAGCAAGAAAACTTGTGGGTCTAGATAAAAATAGTTTAATGGGTAAAGAAAAAAAGTAAAAAACAAAGGGGGGGGCAAGTGATGCAAGGTCACTGAGTGACAACCTCACACCAGCAGACTGATGTCCAGCAAATCCCCAAGCAATGGCTACCTTGGAAAAACTCCCCCTCAGTTTTATTGCGGAGCACGACGTCATCCGGCACAGTCAGCTGAGGTCAGCTGTCCTGCTGTGTCCCCTCCCAGCCTCCTCCCTGGGGTGACAACCGAGAAACAGGGCAGGCCTTGACGCCGAGTCAGCACTGTTCAGCAACAGCTAAACATCTGTGTGTTACCAACAGTTTTGGGCATAGATGTAAAACACAGCACCACGTGGGCTGCCATGAAGAAAATTATTCCACCCCAGCCAGACCCAGTCCACAGGTCAGTCAGGTGAGGGGTCCATCTTCTCCACCACCCTACCACCTACAACATCAGTTGTGAATGAGACAGTTCCCCAGACGCCTGTGGCCCCCAGCTGCCTGGCTCAAGAAGCTCCTGAGCTGTAATACTGCATCTTTGCATTTGAAAGGCAGTAAGACTTTTCTTCTGTAAAGTTTTCTAGTTCTCTTTTGAACCCTACAACGTCAGAAGTTCTATCACACATTGCAAGAACCAACACATGTTTTGGATGTCCCTCTAGTAACAGCCCTGACCAGCAACATGCCCCAGCAGCAGTTTCACATAGAACCCGTTCCCAAAAATCAGTGCCTCTTTCCTTTGCTGTTTTCAAAGTCCCTACTTACTTCACGCTGTCAGATGATTGTAGAGGGCTGTGCTAGTCAGGGCCCTGTCTCTTCCTGTGGATTTTTGTGTCCAAGGCAAGGGTACCTGCAAGCACCACCGCAGCTGAGCTCAAAGCCATGGGCACACCTCTGTTCTCTTCAGGCAGCAGAGCAAAGGCCTGGTGTCTCAGCAAGCTCCTGACTGCCAATCTGTGCTGCAAGACCAGGATGCTGAGGAGCATGTACCCAACATGGAGTTTCTTCTTCTTCCTGTGCTAGGGCAAGTTTCTGGCCTTTCAAATGAGCATGTTCAGACAGCGTAATCACCGGATTCTAAGGCAAGCACTCCCTGGTTAGGAGATCTTTCCAGCAACTGGGCACAAACAAGGCTTGCAGTCAGATGGTTTCCCAGAACCAGCTGCCAGGCTGCTCATTGGCTGTGCTGAAGCTGGATCTGCTTCCGAGGAGCCACGTCCTAAGCATTTCATGCTTCTTCCCTGACAGACTTCGTCCTGCGTGCCTGTCCAGTGAAGGAGGAGGAGCCTGGGCTCCCACATCCCACAGGTTTTGATGAGTACCAGCACCATCTACTGGGCATCTGGGCATCTACTGGGCAATGCTGACAGTGTCCCCTTACACCCCCCACTGCCCCAAATCTCAGCAGGCACGGAGCATCTGCTCCTCCATTTGCGTCCCAGGCAGGAACCCCTAGAGACTGCTTGTGGTGTCCAGAGGTGCAGGCAGACCACAAACCCAACCAACACACAGGAGCCACGAGAATTTTAGAAAGGGCAGAGCACAGCTCTGAAAGGTGTTTCTGCAGAGCGTGCTACAACTACCAACCCCACTATCCTGCTGAGCCCCAAGAGTCAGTTAAAGATCTCTTGAAAGATGGCTGCAGGAACCAAGGAACCAGAGTGGGCACTCTGTCCTTGAAAAGGAGAACTGCCCTCAGGTGTGAGAGCGCAGGTCCAGCACGCTCCTAACACACGCACTGGCTGCATCTAGGAGGCTGCTGGCAGGCGTTGAGGCATAGCTCCTGCAGCAATCCCCTCCGAGGGCTGGCAGCCCTGAGCAGAGCTCTGTGCAGGCTTGACCAGGGCTGTCCAGCCCTGGAACGTCTTGGGAACCAACTGAAGCAGGAGCAGCAGGTGATCCTTCTATCAGACCCAAGCAGGTTGTCTGTCTGCAGTCCTCTTTGCTGACCAGAGCGTTCCTTGAGATGCAGAGGTAACACAATGCCCTTCCCAAGCCACAGCCATGAGGGTAAAGAGTCTCAGGCCCACAAGATGTTGCTCTCTTCCCGCTTGCCAGTGCTGTACTGGTCAGCACCATAATGATTTCTGGTTGGAGGCAGCGCCCAGCCTCCCTCCTGAACCCCAGGAGCCTCACACCACGCGCTGGGTGGCAGCCACACTGTGTGTGCCAACTGCTCTCCTACCTGTTTACCACCCCCCTCAGTCAACTCTACTGCAGGCAAACTTGCAATTTCTTATTCGTAAAGTCCCATATTCTAGAATTTTCTGCACCACAGCAATTCACCTGGTAGATCCCTCCTCCCAGAGAGTACAACTTGCCCAACTGTTTCATCACAACTTTCAGTTGGTACGTTACTTATCTATTAATTAATGTTTCTGGTGGCTTTTCATTCATGCTTGTGTTGCAAGGACTCTTCATCGAACTCCTCCCAATGACAATTATAGACTGATCTGGCACTCTGGGGGGGTAGGTTCAGGGACTTCTTATCTGGTTACAGATTCTGCCACAAGTATAAAAACATGCAAGTTCCTAATTTACCTCTGACACAGCCTAGAGTCTAAATACAACATGAATTCAAAGATTTGAGAGTGAATACTTAAGGTGTGATGACAATCCTCCCCAAAACAGGCACTCTCAGTCAGTTTGGAAAATCCCATCACACAGTCACCATGCCTCATCAAGATCGGTCTGTTGGCCCCCAACGTTAGAACACATACCTTGGTGTAAGAGTCAGCATCATCACCCCTATGTAACGGCGCTTTGTCTCTGTATTGCCAAACCAAGAGCCTGTCGAATGAAAGGACATCAAAGGACAAGTCTGAAAACAGACATGCACTCAGAATAGTGCTGGGCTGAGGCAGACGAGTCACAAAGCCCACACACCTCAAGGCAGACACTGTGCAGAGGGAGTCTTTCTGATTCCCTACCAACATCTTATTTAAGTTCTATTTACCAGTCAGAGCTTTATAGGTATTGCATACTTTGTTCTCCTGGATTGAGTTGTTATTTTTTCAACTGAGAATATGACTCCACAGTGTCAACATGAGAACCATATTGCAAGAGTCTGCATTAAATAATCACAAACACAAAGGAACAAAATGAGGCAATGTTCTACATGACTAAATTAACTACCTGTTCATTACAATACAGCTGAATCCTGCACCTGAATTTCCATTAGTACACACACAAGGCTAAGTAGCCCCCAGTTTCCAGGTCATCCTTTCCTTTTTTGAACACCAAGAAATGGCCCACTGATTTTCCCATATGTTGAGATCTAATGAAAAGTATCAATGGACAAGAAAAAAACATAAAAATCCTCACCTACTCCTGGGGACTTAAGTGCAAGCTACTTGGGACACTTTAAAAGTCTTTATCTGCAACAGATGCAAGCCAGCATCCTCCCTGCAGTTTGTTGGGTCCCTGTGGGTAGGGAAGTAGCAGCACAGCCTTCCCATGGCAGAGGAGAGTTTCATGCAAGATGCAAGAATCTTCTTACCCCTCAAAGACTCTTTCTGCCACTCTCCTTGGCCTTCTCTCATACAGAGGGCCCAGAGTCCAGCTGTGCCACAGGTTCCCTCCTTCATCCTCCTCCTCCTGGCCTCCTTCCCCCAATACCCAAGCAAGGAGGCATCCAACTTACTTTTGCGCTGCTCCTCCTTTTCCAGGAATTTCCGCAGCCGGTCTGAGGGGATGGCAAAAGAGATGCCTGACGTCACCTTCATAGTGTTCACCCCAATCACTTCGCCATCCTGCAGGTGAAAGGGCACTGTGCTATCCAGCCCGCATCACTGTGGAGAGCAGGGCAAGTACTGTGCCAGCCTGGAGTCCTGCCTGCACATCCATCCCTTCCCAGCCTGCTGCTTCTGCAGCCTCCCCGACCCTGATGAGGCTGGGGAGGGACTGCTCCCACAGCCCACAGCCCACACAGGCCCTCTGCCCTGCGAGCATCAGCCAAGCTGGGGCCTCACCAGGCTAGGGCTCAGCTCTGCCTATCGGCTCGGGCTCCCCAAAAGAGATGCCACAAAGGGCTCCCACACTGGGCTGATCCCCTGCTCCTCCTCACAAGGAGCCGGGAGCACGTGCAGTCCCTCCCTCCCGGCAGCTGTAGCACACACAGGTGCTCCCAGCGAGGGGCACCGACCGAAGGGCACGCGGCGCATCTCTGCTCTGGCCAGCAAGGGCGCAAGCAGGATAACTCACCAAGTTGACGAGGGGGCCTCCGGAGTTCCCAAACTGCAGCAGAGGAGAGAGCAATAAACAGGCCATGAAAGCAACATCCTTGCACAGCAGGACCCGCAGCAGGGAGGCAGAGTCCAGAGAACAGGGTCAGGCCAAGAAACGCAGCCAGCGCCTGGGTGACCAGCCAGAATCCCTTTGTCTCCCAGCGCTCTGTATCCAGCCTCCTCCGACCTCAGGGCACCCGCAACCCTTCCCCTGCTCCCAGCTCCCCCCTCTCCAAAAGAGGGCAGCCAGGATGAGGTGCCAGCCCACCGTGCACTGCAAGCTCCCCTTACGTCAATGGCAGCGTCGGTCTGGATGTACTCCATGTCAGAGGTGGTCAGGCCCAGCTCCCGGCTGCCTCGCTGGGCAGAGCTGACGATGCCAGAGGTGATGGTGTTCTGCAGGGCAAACGGGCTGCCCATGGCCACCACGAACTCTCCCTGTCGCACCTCTGAGGAGCGCCCGAGGGGCAGGGTGGGCAGCGGGTGCTGGAAGAGAGAAGGACGGTGAGCAGATGGGAGGGAATGAAGGGAACGTCTCCACAGCCGCGATGCACACCTTAGGCTTGATCTTGATGGTAGCGATATCTGCGACCTGGTCCACGTCCTGCACCACTGCATCATACTGCTCGCCGCTGGCCAGCTTCACCCGCACGCGCCGCCGGTTCGCCACCACGTGTGCGTTGGTCACAATGAGCCCATCCGGGGACACCACGAAACCCGAGCCATTGGAGATGGGCACATCGCGGCCTGAAAAGGGATGCCTGCAAGGTGGGCACAAGTCAGGGAGGGGTGGCAGGGACCCTGAGGGGACTGGTGGTGACTGTGGGGAGGGCAGGCAGAGGGGCCAGGCAGACTGGGCAGCCCAGACTGGTAGGCCTGGAAAGAAGCAGGAGATAGTGAGGACGTCTGGGCAACAGTACAATGGGGGAGACTCCTTCACTTCCCCATCTCAAGTCTCCACGAACACACAACAGGGGAACAAGCAGAAAGAATCAGGAGCCAACTCACAACTGCAAAGGTATGGTCCTGCTGGGACTACGGAAGCATGGTGGGGAGCTTACATTAGTGGAGAACTGCTATGGCTGAGGCAGGCCCTTGGGGAAAGAGCAGCAAGGAGGTAAGGAGGAGAGGTTGTGGTTTGCACAAATAAGCAGCCTGAACACACAGAGCCTTGCCTTGAGGCAGGTAATAACCACATGGGAGGTGATGGGTACGTCTTTGTTACACAGCTAGAGGAAGGAGGAAGGCTTGTGATTGCAGGCCCTGGTCCCCATAGGGGACATCAATCCCCCTGACCTCTACAAGAACGCCTGGCGCTGAATGGGGCAAGGAACCTGGTGACAGAAGACACAGAGAGAGCTGAAGTGATCAGTGCCTTTTTGCCTTGTTCCTTGGGCCTCCCAAGTCCCTGTGCCCTGAGGCAGAGTCTGTGGGAATGCAGCATTACACAGAAGATCAAGGGAGGGATTGCTGAAGCCAACTGGACATCCACAAGTTGATGGCACCAAACAGGATACATACGAGGGGGCTGGCTGATGTCCCGGTGAGTGCTCAAATGTCACAGTGGTAAAGGGGGCTCCTGATGGCTGGAAAAAGGCAAGCGTCACACCAGCCTGCAAGACTGCCAAGAAAGAGGGTCCTGAAAACTGCAGGTCAGTCAGCTTCATCCCTAACTCTGGGAAAGTTATGGAGCAAATGCTCCCAGAAACCACTTCCCAGCACACAAGGGACTGGGAACAGCCAGCGCAGACTTACTAATGGCAAATCATGGTTGACCACCCTGGCTGGCTGCTGTGGTCAGATGAGTGGCTGCGCAGATTAGGGGTGAACAACCTTAAACAAGCTTTCAGCTTGGTGTCTGTGGTGCCCTTCCAGCCATGCAGGTGACATGACGGCTGATAATCAGATAAGGTAAATGGAAAAGTGGCTGGACCACCAAGGCACAAGTCCAGCTGGTAGTCAGTTACTAACACCATGCCTCAGGAACTGAGAGAAGGCCCAATGCCATTTAACACCTTTCACGTTCACAAACTGGAGGATGGGACACTGTGCACTCTCAGCAAGCCCACTGGTGACACCACACTGGAGGGAGATGTCAACAAGCTGGTCAGAGTTACTATTCAGAGGTGCCTTGACAGGCTGGAGATGCAGGATGACAAGAACTTTACGGAGTTTGAAAGTAAATGCAAAGTCGTGCTCCTGGGGCAGAGTAATCCTGCACCACAGGACAGCCTGGGGCTGCTGCACAGAAGGCAGCTTTGCCAAAATGGTCCTGGGGGAGAAAAAAGCAGCAGCATGCCCCTGAGGCGACGGCTGACAGCGTGCCAGCTGCGTGTGCAGGCAGCAGGGTGAGGGAACGGATCCGTCCCCCCCGTGGGACCCCACCTGGATGCTGTGCCTGGTTCAGGCTTCCTGGGACAAGATGGGGCAGCCGTGGAGGCCCTAGAGGTGGCCGGGACAGGGAGCTGTACTGCACAGGGAGGCTGGGAGATAGGGGCTGTGCAGCTGGGGAGGGTCGGGGATCTCTCCTTGGGGGTGCAGGGGGGACGGGGCCAGACCCTCCTCGGAGGAACAGGACAGGAGGAGACAGGGACAGGGTCAAGAGGGAGGCTCCCCCACGGGGTAGCGGGGAAGGCAGCTCTGCGGGGGCTGCGGACCAAGCCGGGGGCGGCCGCCCGGTGCCGGTACCTGCCCACGATCTCCACGTAGACCAGCGCGGGTGCCGTCTTCTCCACCACATCAGCGATGAAGTTGAAGGCGGCGCGGGGCGAGGCGGGCGGCGGCGGGGTGGGCACGGCGGCGTGCAGCACCGGCAGCGCGGCCCGGCGGCCCTCGCCCTCCCCGGCCCACAGCAGCACCAGCGCCGCCGCCCCAGCGCCCAGCGCCGCTGCCAGCGCCCGGCCCCCGGCAGAGGATGGAGGAGGAGGAGGAGGCGGAAAGGAAGGGGAAGGGGAGAACTCGGCAGCCCCGCAGAGCGCCCGGCACCACGCGGCCGCGCCCGGCCGCAGCCGCTGCCACCGCGCCAGCGCCGCCATGCTGCCGCAGGGCACGCTGGGAGCTGAGGTCCCGGCCCGCCAGGCCCGCCGGGCGCGCGGCCCCGCCGCGGGGCACGCTGGGAGCTGTAGTCCGAGGCAGAGGCCTCCCGGAAGCTGCGGCCCTTCCGGCAGCCGTAGCGCGGTCGCCGGCGGGGGGGGCGGAGAGCGGAGCGGCTCTGCGGCGGCAGCAGCTCGCTGGGCCCGCCGACCGCCCTTCCTGCGCCGCCGAGGGCCCGCGGCGAGGCGGAGGGAACGGGCGGGGGGCGGCGCAGCGCACGCCGGGAAAGCGCCGCGCCTCCCAGGCTGCCCCGCGCGGGCCAGGCGGGCCGCCGCGAGGGAAGATGGCGGCGAGCGCCGGTCGGCCCTGAGGCAGCGGGCGCGGCGGGGATGGAGCCTCCTGCGGCCCCGGGCCCCGAGCGGCTCTTCGACTCGCACCGGTGAGAGCCGCGAGGCCCCGCGCTGCGGTTCGTGGGGGTGGGCCTCGGGGCGTCCCGCGGGAGGCCAGCGCAGGAAGCTGGGGTGTTCCTGTGGGGGGGGACGCCCAGGGAGCTGCGCGGGGAAGGCCGGGGTGTGCTGGGGCAGGGGCCGCTGAGGGTCTGCGGCATCCCCGGGAGGCCCGCTGGGAAGCGCGGGGCCGGCTGGGTTTCTCGCTGCGGGGGCCCAGGTGGTTAGGGAGGGCGGCGGGCGCAGGGCGGCCCCCGGGAGGGCTCAGGCAGGCAGCTGGGCAGCTGGCTACCCCGTCCGTGTCCCAGCCGTGCTCAGCCTGCCTCTGCTGCTCTTTCACCCTGCAGGTTTCCGACCGACGGGTTCCTGCTCCTGGCCCTGCTGCTCTACGCACCCGTGGGGCTCTGCCTGCTCGTCCTGCGCCTCTTCATTGGCGTACATGTTTTTCTGGTCAGCTGCGCCCTGCCTGACAGTGTGCTCCGGAGGTGCGTGAGCCTGGCTGCCCTCAGGGCGCGGAGCTCCTGGTGTTGCCTTGGGGTGGGGATGTGGTGTGCAGACACTGCCGTGGGGTAGCGCGGGGCGGGAGAGCTGCCCGCATCCATGCGGGGCTCCTTGCTATGGAGGCTTGGCTTATGCTGAGGTTTACAGGGAGCAGTGCTTTAGGGACTCTTCGTTCCCAGGACGCAGGAAGGTGACTTCTTTGCCAAGACCAAAGCTGGCAATTGCCTCTTGAGAGCTCAAGGACTGGTCTGAAATGCTTAGATCAGCTGGGTATCCTGCTAAGGAATTCTGTGGTGGCTTACTGCCCCATATTTCATGCTGCAGCTACAGCTCTAGAGGCAGCCTTCAGCCCCAACAATTCCTGTCCTAGACATCTGTCATATAATTTCAATTCTGTACCAGTGTCCTTTGTCAAGTCACAGGAATTCCCAGGTCTCTGTTCTCTTTGCTGGATGTGTCAGCCGGTAATGGCTCAGACTGCAGGACTTGAGGAAACCACTTTCCCTCCCTCTCCCAGGTTTATTGTACGTGTGATGTGCTCAGTGCTGGGCTTATTTGTGCGGCAAAGTGATCCCCAGCTTCGTGATGTCAATGTGAGGGTGTATATTGCCAACCATGTTACACAATTTGATCACAATGTCATCAACCTTCTGACCTCATGTAATACGGTGAGTAACTTGGGGCTGAGCATGACGGGTCTGGAAGCACCTCGTTCCAAGAGAGGCTCACAGAGAGCTCTGTCAGAATTTAGGTGTCGCCATGGCCACCTTCAGTTCTTATTTACTAACCCAGGATTGCACAAGCATTGAGGTTTTTTTGGTGGTTCAGCGTCACACACTTAGGCTCTGCATGAAAGAATGAAACAGGGTGAGGAGGAGCAGGAGGTGTTACAGTGGGTATTGATTTTATTGAAAAAGGCAAATCCTAGCATCTGTATCTTTTTCCGGCCTTTCAAATACATGGTATCAGAGGTAGGATTAGTTATGGGGTTTTCCCACAGCATTGGGTACCACTTCTGCCTGTGGACAGCTGGTTGCGCCTCAGAGGAGTGCTGAGAGGAGCTCTGTGGTGGGACAGTGCTGCTCAGGTTATTCTGCTGGGCTGGCGATTGTGTAACTTTACCTGTACTCTTGTGAAATTCCTTATGTGTGCAGTTCCCCAATCAACAGGCTCCGAATGTGCCTGGGAGTGAGCTGGTTGGTCCTATATTCTGAACAGCAGTAGATTTGCTCCTCACATGGAGAAAAGTAACTCTTGGAAGTAGTGTGTCCTTTGCTAAGCATGTCAGGAACTACTAGAGAGAAGACGGGGAAACACAGTTGTCACCTAGGGTGAGGGGAATTTGTTTCTCTGATAGAAAGGGTACAGTCTGAACTGAAGATTAGGAATCAAAATGCCTATGGAATTGGGGCCACAGCAGTTACTGAAGCCTGGCAGTAACATGTTCTCTTCCACTAGTGCTTTTATCCTGTAGGTTGCTCCCTCAGTCCCCAGAGCCATTTTTGCTGATAAGCAGGAAATCTGTCTCCCACTGTCACCTGGGAAAGTGGGCCTTGATGGGGGAGGACAGGATGGTATTTCTTCCTTACTCATGTTCTCCCTTGCAGCCTGCATTGAACGGTGCCCCTGGCTTCATCTGCTGGTCACGGGGATTCATGGAGCTGGGAGTAACAGGAAGCCGAGCAGAGCTGGTGGATTCCCTGAAGGTGTATTCGTCCCACAGAGGAAACCCACCACTGCTGCTGTTCCCGGAGGAGGCTGCCACCAACGGCCGGTCTGGCTTGCTCCGCTTCAGGTACCGGGAATGGGTATTCCTGCGGCAGGACTGTCATCACTTTGTTGTAGCTTAGGTGTCACTCACTGCTGAATTATTCTTCCTTTCCAGCTCTTGGCCGTTCTCAGTCTTGGATGTGGTACAGCCAGTTGCCCTACAAGTTCAGAGGCCTTTGATCACTGTGGTGAGTCAGGGACATAGGGCAAGGAGAAGCTGTGGAGGCGTGCGCTGTGTTGAGGGTCTTGGCAATGCCATTAATGCTGCTTCTGCTTTGAAGCCTGTGGGCAGTGCAGCCTGGCCTTGTGTCCTGTCACCCCAAGGACTAAGTTCAGTGCCAACGCTGTTTTTCAGGTGCCTTTACCAGGGAACTTGCGCTAAGTCAATACTCTTTTAGTTACACTGGCAATTTTGATAAACGTTTTAGTGGCTCAGCTGTTTAACAATGTGCCATCTGGCTTTCACGATCATAGCATCGCTGCCTCATCTCTTCTTTCTGAGCTCCCTTCTTTTAAAGTGCTTTGAAAGAATAGCTCTAGCCAACTTGGAGATTGGCCGATTTGCCAAAGGTTATGCAAGGGTCTCTGGAGTAGGTTCTTGAACTCCTGTCTCCAAATGCAGATATGTAACATGATGCAACATTAGCTACAGAAAAGTGGCAAAGTTCATGATGATAGTACTAGTGCTGCTAAATAGATTGCAATAAAATTGTTCTCAGCTTGGTTAGAGTGAGATTTTGTTGAATTTCTTATTTCTTGATGTGATTTATGGATCTACTTGATTAATAGTCACATTATATATTTGTCTGAGATTGTAGTTGAATTTCTGTTGTCCATCTTTTTAAGGTCATAGGGCACAGTGGGTAGATATAAAGCCACTTACCAGCAGGTCATAAAACCTCACTTCCTACTCTAAACCATCAGCGTCCAGCTATTTTTAAAGTGTGATTCTGTTAAGGATTAGTTCTTTGCCCAGTGCTGTTTAGTTCTTTTATTGGCGCTGCAGATGACAATACTGAGATCCCTGCTGGTAAGGTTCAGGTTAGTGAATAATGAAGAAACTAGATTACTGATCATGATCCAGTGAACTACTGATAGCTGCCAGTGAACGGCTGTTACTTGTGAGTCTAATGTAGTCTGTGGGTGTGGAACAAGAGGAATATCTGGCAGGGTGAGTAACACAGTTTTAGCTGGATGTGTGTAATGATGAAAACTGCTAAAACACTATGTGAAGCTTTGACAACCCCACTGCCAAGGAAGTGGGGCAGCAGTAGAGAGAACGAGCTTAAGGAGGCCATAAGCATGATGCAGAATCCAGAGCGCCACACTTAAAGGCACTCAGCTTAATCAGCTTATCAGGGAGATTGTTGTGGGTAGCTGCTTGCACGCTGGAGAATAGGCTTAAAAGTGGAGAATTCTTTTATTTTTTCCCTGACAAAGCACACAGCAGCAGTCTTTGCAGGTGCTGAGACTAAATGTTGGTACTGCACAAGTTCAGTTTTGGATTAAGATGCAGTTTTCTAAGAGTGAGAATACTTTACATTTTTGAATGACTACTCCAGAGAAGTGGGAGAACTGTCCTGTTCTGGACTGTTTATAATGAATATCTTATCTTTTTATGGGTTTGGCTCCTCCGAAAAATTTTGTGAGATGTGACAAGTTGTAGATTGTGCATCCTTTCCTTCATGAATCTTGGGGGGAACAGGATGCATATAACTGGAGATCTGTTTGAAGATAACTGGTTATAGTCACTTCTTGGCTCAGATTTTTGCCTTCAGAGGTTGAGCAGGACTTTTTACCCTTCGTGCACATTGGCTAAGTAAATTCTGGTGGATTTCCTATGTAATTTTAAACCATCAGAAACTTCCAAGGACCGTAGATGTGATACTTTGAATGGTTTGATCAGTGCTTTACAGAAAGCTTTCTTAGACCCTTATGTTATATATGTCAGACACGGGGCTCAGCAAACCACCCAGTTTGGGTTTAAGAAAGAATTTTCTTTGGCTCTAATTGGCTGGCATCTTGGAAGGAGGGTGGTGTTCTGTGGCACAAGGCAGCATAACTGAAGTCTGGCTATTGGCATCACTATAAGGCATTTGATTTTAGGTTTCTTAGATCTGTTTATCCAGGAAATGAGGTTTATTTATGTTACCCTTGGTGGCTGTGGTTTCTGGTCTCTTCTCATTTGCAGCACCTCTTTCCAGGCCATGGAACAAACCAGGCAGGAGGCCTGTCCTGGAGCCACATTGCTTTGGTCGAGGGTGAGGTCAGGTGTAAAAGAAGCCAAGGCAGCTACCTTGTGAGCAGTAGATCTTGAGATGGTGTTCTCACCAGCTTGTGGAGAGTTTGGTCACTGAAGAATAAACGTAACCAGCTACAA